ATCTTGTAGTATTTTTTTTATTATATTATAAAATATATATATATATATATATATATATACACACACAGTATATATATATATATATATATATATATATATGGGGCATGGGACATGCACAGGGGGTGACTCTGAGATGAGTCTGTAAAAATGTGATTGCCACGTGTGTATATCTAAACAAAATACAATATAAAACAAATGAAACCCGAGTAAACACATAACACAATCACCCATGTGAAAAACAAACTGCTCCTTTAAACTTGGTTTAAATCTGGTTATGCCACCTTTAGCATCAAAAACTGCAAACAAAAGCTTGTGATAACTAACAATCTTTTACAGTGCTGTGGTTGAGTATTGGCCCACTCTTCCTTCCAGAACTGCTTTAGTTCAGACACACTTAGAGTCACTCAGAGTCACGATTCACACAGGAAACACGGGAACGAAGGAACGAGGAGATGAGGAGTAAAGCAAATTTCAAAGACTTTAATAAACACAAAGCTTGGAACACAGGAACACGGGAAATCACAGAGAACACAAAATGACATATAACAGCGGACGCTAGAAACAGGGACACACAGGGCTTAAGTAAAAGGAGGCAAATAAGATCATTAATTAAACAGCTGAAACTAATAGAACTAAATAGGGACAGGAACAAGAAAAACCAAATATGGGCATAATAATCAAATTGGAGCACGTGGGGGAGGAAAACACAACACGAGACATGGAACTGAGTCTGACATTACTCCCCCCTCCTGGAAGGAGGATCCACACAAAATCCAACGGCGAGGGGGGGTGGGCGCTCTGGAGGTCCCTCAGGACAGACACAGGACGGCGGGCGAGCGATACCCGTTTGGGTGCCATGGCGGATCCAACAGTCCAGGAGGCCATGGCGGATCAGACAGTCCAGGAGGCCATGGCGGATCAGAGAGTCCAGGAGGCCATGGCGGAGCCCGCCCCCCAGCCTCTACGGCTGGAGCCCTCCTTGGGCTAAACTCGGGGACGGGGCCCTCACTGGGCTGAACTCGGGGATAGGAGCCCTCACTGGGCTAAACTCAGGGACAGGAGACCTCAGTGGGCTAGACTCGGGGACAAGAGCCCTCACTAGAGGGAGCTCTGGGGCTGGAGCCGACACAGGAGTGACCTCTGGGGCTGGAGCCGACACAGGCGCGAGCTCTGGGGCTGAAGCCGACACTGGAGCGAGCTCTGGGGCTGGAGTCGACACTGGAGCAGGCTTGAGTGAGCCGCGGCTGGCGGGCTTGTCTTCGGAGCGGCTGGCAAGCTTGACAGCAGGGCGGTCCTCATACCACGGGGAGAAAAATGGGAAAACAAAAGACATTTCAATAAAGAAAACAAAAACACGGGAGAAGGGGCGCCGATTACTGTTTTGGTCCGCTGTTCTGTCACGATTCACACAGGGAACACGGGAACGAAGGAGCGAGGAGATGAGGAGTAAAGCAAATTCCAAAGACTTTAATAAACACAAAGCTGGGAACACAGGAACACGGGAAATCACCGAGAACACAAAATGACATATAACAGCGGATGCTAGAAACAGGGACACACAGGGCTTAAGTAAAAGGAGGCAAATAAGATAATTAATTAAACACAGCTGAAACTGATAGAACTAAATAGGGACAGGAACAGGAAAAAACAAATATGGGCATAATAATCAAACTGGAGCACATGGGGGAGGAAAACACAACACAAGACATGGAACAGAGTCTGACAGACACATTGTGGTAAATACATTTTTACAGCACTCATCTCATTTCCTCATTTTATCACATCCTTCTCTCTGCTCATCTCTACCTGTTCCACCTTTCCTCCACCCACTCCACCACCTTTTAGAAATACATCTCTTTTAGGCATACATCTCCAACTAAAGCAAACACTGACCTCGATAATGGTAACCTCAAATGAAACTCAATAAATCATCAACATCCTAAACCTCTGTTAATTCTAAAAACTTTAGTAGATGTCTGAGAGAAATAAAGTCAATCTGGTTAGTAATAAATGAAGCTGGTAATGCTGTTTGTGGAGTTGTTTAATCTTCCTCTGCTGAGATCTTGAGAGATTTAGGCCCAATCCCAATTTTATTTTATACCCCTTCCCCTTCACCTACCCCTCCGCCTACCCCTTCCCCTTGTCCCTTGAAACAGAGTGTCATGGGGTAGGGGTGAAAATATTCCCCTAAGAATTGGGACACCACTACTATGCCGTCACACGTCATCATACGTCGTCTAGCTCCTACAATACACACACCTATACTGGTGTGCTGGTGTGTGCATTAGAGCCTTTAATTACCGTTCTATATTAACGTGCTGCTTACTGACACACACACACACATTAGATATCGCGCAGCTCACACATCCAGACATTTCTTTGAGTAACATGACCGTAAATACGAACTCACGATTGAATGTAACATAAAACAAATCATTACTTTTCGTTAAAATCTTTATTAATGCCATGCTTACATTTATGTGTCTTTTTGTGCGCTCGGCAGCCATGTTGCCCCTGAAGCCGGTTTACGCTGAGATAATTCATACCCCTTCGTTTGAAGTGTGGTCCCGAAAAATCTTCGTTTGAAGGGCTATCTGGCCCTTCCCCTTACCCCTACCCCTCCGACCAAAAGAGAATCAAGACAGGGGTAGGGGTGTTCGTATTTACGGTCATGTTACTCAAAGAAATGTTTGCAAAAAATCGCTAAAGTTTGCTATCATCATATCATTAAAAGGGGAAGGGCTAAGGAGTAGAATTGGGATTGGGCCTTAATGTCTTTTATTTGCAGTTGATTTCGGGCTGTGTGCCTTTAAGTCAATTGTAGATGTTGTGTTTCATTTTCTGAGAGTGCAAGCATGATGTTGAACCAACATCACATTGTAACATTGATTTAAAGCCGTTACTGTTGATTTTTTTATTAAATTTCCAAATTTTTTCAAGGTTTATTGCGGGTGCAAAAGTGATGTTAACTAAATTCCACTGATTTACTGTAACATTGTTTCAATGGATGCTTGCTATCTGGGATACCATGTTCATTTGATAATATGACAAATTACAGAGTTCTGTTTGTTGTGTTTGGACAAATGGGACATTGGTACATATATATGATTTGTGTAAAACCGATAAAAATATCTGCAATTGTTGTTGTTGTTGTTTTTCTCCTGCTATATAAAAAAATGTGTTTGCTGTATGAACTATTATGAAAACATTTGAGAATTTTGGAATTTTGTGCACAGTGAAAGATAATGTGAGATGCATTTACATTGTGACCGTGCCTCAGATGCAATCAACAGAAACTGTGTCTGTAAAGGTGTGAAACAAATGGTCCATTCAGTTAGAATAACAAAAGAATAGCATTTCTCAGGAGCTTCTTGTAGATTGCAGGATCTTAACTATTGATTCTAGTCCTTTTGTCTTCAGGTATAAAGGTCTGTCTCACAGACAGAACTTTGGGAGAAGCTAAGATTCTTATAAAGATTAAGATATTTTAAAGACAAACACGCCAACATTGCTGTTGAAGAACTGCTTTTATGATGCGAACAACTGACTATGGTGACATGGCGATTGAGTAGTTTTGATCTGAGAAATGCACCAAAGCAACTGAGAAAAACTGTAAGATTGTGTCTCTAAAACCTGCTCTGCAATTAGTTGTGTAGCATACCAGATGTAAAAACCAACCCACCTTCTTTCTTGAAAAGTTTAAAATGTAATCCCATTTTACCCAAGCAGGAGTTTGTTCAGTAGCTTGTTCAGCTCTCCCTAAAATTGTAAAAGTATTTTTAAATGAATGGGGAGGGCAGTATTACTGCACTCTTTCAATAATGAATGTGCTTACTTTGAATATAAAAATAATTTGTTTATTATAGTAATTATTTCACGCATTTAATTTAAACTATTTTTGAAATACATTTTGTAAAACTGTGTCCTCAACTATTTAACTATTGAATGTTTTATCTAATGGTGTATTTGGGGTAGTTTAGGAATATGATCATGCCAAAGGAACAGTCTGCAGGAGAATCAACAGCTGCAGATGATAAGTGCCCTAAAAATATTTGTGACTCACCCTTATGATAGTTGCTTACGAATGAAAATTAGTGTCTCCAAGATACTGTCTTTAAGAAAAAAACATCATGTTTGGATGTTGCTATAATTATCTGTACTGTTAACCTATCAGAACCTGTAGAAATTATGTCAATATGACTATAAGTATTAATGTTAAGTTAGTTGGAGGCTGGCTCCTCTTAATCATTTTCTACGGCCTTTGGAAGTGTGGATAACTCCGTATCCTCTGTCAACTGACTGAACAAATTTGACTCCTGGTCTGCATTGAGCATATTGGTCTCTATATGGGATTTAACTGTAATTCCCCTACAATAATCCATTTTTTTTTAATCTTTTTTTTTCTATACCACAATGGCATTGTAGGCTACTGCAATTTGTTGTCAGATCACCAGTAAAAGCATACATTCTGTCCAGTGTCTTGCAATCAATATCCTGCATACAGTAATGTGTAAATTTGTACTGTTGAAATTGATGCCTTGAAGAAAAAGAAGCTGATAACATGTTCAGAGGTCAGCTGCACATAAAGGTATGAGTTCACTCACCTGGAGTCAAACTTCCGTCCGTCCTCGAATGTGCCGTTATATTGATACCGAACATAATCTCCGATCTGAACCTCTCTCGAGCAGTGTGTTGGTATGAAGTATCGATCAATAATCACATCTTCTAACTGACTACATGCAACATGTTTGAGAGTGAGGAGAACAGTGAGAGCTGCTGTTATCGCCATTTAAAATAAGAGGATATTTCTCATTCGGTATTCTGCAGGAGAAACAAAAGCAAAACTAAATCAAGCCGTGACAAACGATACTTATAAAAATTTCACTATGCATTTGTTATCCTGAAATCTGTGAAATTATGTGCAAACATGCGTAAAATAACTTGAAAGAAGTTGATGTATACGTAAGCTGTGTAACTGTACTGCGTGTCAAAATCCGCAGGAGCTGCAGCATCAACCCCGCGGTCTTAAACTCCGTTCGGTCACGCAGTCCTAAAGTTTAAGCAACAAGCAGTAGGCTATTCAACAATACAGCAGGCACAAGGAGGGGGGGGGGGCGGGTGGACAAAAGGAAGA